GAAGCTATTGTACTTAGGTAGCTGAAACAAAGGCAGCAGCACCCAAAGCCAGGCACATAGAAACACTGAGGCCTTGGCTACACTCAAGACTTGGCAGTGCTGCCGTGGCAGCGCTGTGAAGCGCAAGTGTAGTCGCAGCTCTCTCGCAGCACTGTAAGTACTCCACCTCTCCGAGGGGAATAGTGTGCAGCGCTGCAGGCACTGATTACACTGGTGCTTTACAGCACTGTACTCGCTGTGCTCGGGGGGGGGGGCGTTTTCACACCCCTGAGCGCAGCAAGTTGCAGCGCTGTACAGCGCCAGTGTAGCCAAGGCCTGAGTAGAGACTGAATCATGTAACTCAAGGTTTTTAAAATGCAGGGGTTGGGGCTCTGAATAGTGGAACTGTGTGTGCATTCATGTGTGTGTGTGTGTGTGTGAGAGAAAGAGAGAGGCGGAGGAAGGCAGACTGGGTGAGACAGTGGGACTGCCTGGACAAGCACAGTGTATGACCCTGGAAGAAGCTAGAGAGAGAGGGCTTCTGGGGTAGATGCTGGCTAAAGAGGCTTGGGGCTGTAAGCAAAGACTTTATCCACTATTGTTTCTTCTTCCTGCACTTGGCGAAGCAGGACTTTGTATATACCTTATAAATAAACAAGGCTGAATCAAATGTCTATTGTGTACAATGGGTATTCAAGATTACTGTTACAGAAGGCTAGTGAAGGGGAGTGACATGGTCTAAGCAGTGGGCAAAGAAAATGCTTTTAGCTGCTGGTTTCAGATAGACTAGAGGGCAATGCAGAGGTAGTGGAAGCACATTTTGAATAGGGAGGCAAAGGTGCACAGTGAAACCTAAATTACTCCTAGGGGAATTCTGTGCCAAAAATTAAAAAAATTCTGCACACTATTTTAAAATTCTGCAAAATTTTGCATATTTTATTTGTCAAAATAACAATATAATCACACCAGTTTCAATTATTTTGGTAATTTATTTCAAAATAGCTGTCAACAGCATGTCTATAACAATACAGACAACAAACAAGAGTCAGGAAATGTTTTTTGACAAATAGATTTCTTACTAGACATATTAATACAGAACTTTGAGTAATGAGGGTCCTGGAACAGGGATTTACAGAAAATTCAAAGATAATGAGGATGGAGAAGAGCCCCTGAAGCTGTGCCAGGCAGAGATCTATGTACACACTGCTGAGAGTAGATTCAAAAGAGTGAAGATAGCAAAATGATTTGGAGGAGATCCAGTGGGCAATTAGAGGCAGCGACGGCCCACAACATTTTGGCACCTGAGGTGGGGAGCGCAAATGACACCCCCATGGCCCTTCGCTTGGGCCAAAACTTTGAAAGATCTCAATTCTGCCTTCTTCCTGTTCTACTCCTCTCATGGTACTGCTCTACCTACCCCAATAAAGGAGAGCTAACAAAAATGCATTGTTCAAAAATTTTAAGTAACACTTAACTTTCAAATGCCTGAACAGCAAATGTAACTTTTCTTGTCTGCATAGTAAACACTGGCATTTTTATCTGTTTGAATAATCAAAGTGGTGCTTTCCGTGCTTTCTTGGTTGTAAAGATTTGAACTGCTTCCTGAAGGTCCACAGTCTGGGCCAGCTCATGCTCTATTGAAATGGAAGCTGCGTTCTCCATTGGCAACGGTTACAGGAAGTTTTAGAAGTATGCGCAAAGCAACAAAAGCATTTAGAAAGAGGGTGGTCATCTTATTTGTGCACATATATTCCAGAACAGCCTTTGGAGTTGATCCTGCTGAAATGTATCTTGAAAGCCCTTTCAAGATACATCACCTAAATCACTCTCATCAATATCGCGCATGTCATTTTGTGTCAACACTGTCTCTAGTGCCCTGCATTGCTGGTGTAGGTTTTCTTCAGGTATAGTGAGGAGTTTTGGAATATCATACAACATCCCAAATATACTGCTATGTTCCTTGAGCTACATGAAACGTTCTTCAACTGACTGTATTGCACCATCTAGCACCTGGTTAAATAATTCAACTTTGAATTGTTGTTTGGGGTCTCTTATGGGATTATCCTGTGTCTCGTAATCAAAAGGTCGTCTTCTTCTTCAATGACTCTTGTATTCTTGAATGGGTGGGAAAATAACTTCAGTGTGAAGTTCCTCTGCCAACTTCTGTGCACTCTTCAGAACGTTTTGAAATCCCTCATCTGACCGGTAAAACTGTAGGTCTGACTTTGCTTTGTCCAGTTGTTCCATTTCTCCAGATATATCAAGGTCAACACTTGGAGTCTCTTGCTTACAACATTTATTTCAAACAGTATGTCATACCACAACAGTAAGCCACACAGAAATTTGAAGTTATGTATGTTTCTGGTGATTCCATTGCCCTTTGCCACTTTTCTCCCACGAACAGTTCCTGTCATAGCATTATCCTCCATAATGGCAACTCTTGCATCATCTATTGTCCCAATTTGTTGTTTGATAGGCTTTATCGCCTCCACTCAACTTTCCCATCGTGTGGCACTCAGTGGTTTCAGTGTCAGAGAGGATGTTCCCAGATGTTGCTTCAAAATTTGCCATCAATGAGTTGATGCAGAGAAAAATACATAGATGCTTTGAATTACATTAAAAAATTCAGCAGCCTCACTAGAAGCTGATGCTGCATCACTTACCACTAAGTTCAATGAATGAGAACTGCATGGGACAAAAAAAGCTCGAGGGTTTAACTCTCGGATCCGTGTCTGCACTCCTCTGTTCTTTCCTCTCATGTTGGCACCATTATCGTAGCCCTGACCTCTCATGTCAGCTATCACAATTCCTGTAGCTTCCAGATTTTTAAGAAGCATATTTGTCATACCAGCTCCTGTGGTATCATCAATGTCAATAAATTCTAGAAAATGCTCTCTGACAGTCCCCATTGCATGGACAGTTTCACTAGGTTCTGTTGTTACAAAACACACCATTAAAGTCATTTGTTCTGTATGGCTGATGTCAGGTGTGCAGTCCAGAATAACATAGTAATATCTTGCTGACTTCAGATCTGCTACAATCTTCTGTTTGACTTTTGTTGCCAGTAACTGTATGATCTCATTTTGAATTGTTTTTCCAAAGGTAGTGGTATGTACATTTCTTGGGCGGTGACTCTTCTTAGATGCTCCTGGAGTACAGTATCAAACTCAGCCATCAGCTCCACAATTTTAAGGAAGTTTCCATTGTTTGGCACATACAGCTGATCTGAAGTGCCACGCAGTGCTAGGTTTTGCGTAGCAAGCATTCTCACAATGGCAATGAGCCTTTTCAGAACATTTTGCCAGTAAAGAGTCTCTGATACAATCTTCTCCTGATGCTAATTTTGTATGGTGGCCTTTAACCTTAGTCTTATCTCAAGCTCTTTCCACCTATGGAATGCTCTGGTGATTTGCTGCCTTCTCATGGCATACCGGATTTCTAGCCAGATTTTTCCAGTTCTTTGTTCCTGTAGAACCCAATGTGGCTGGAACATTAGACTGGAAGAGTTTGCAACAAAAACGGTATGCAGCATTCTGGGTTTTTGAGTACATAAGCTATGGCCTCCCCACTTTGTCACCATTGCGGATTTCATGCCAGTAATGTGTTGGATGGAAACTTCTATTTTCATTGTCTTTGGGGAACATGAAGTTTTTTCACTTGCTGTGGTCCATGCAGTACAAGGAAGTCCCTCAGGCTACTGCTCAAGTGGGTCCACAGCAGGGCCAGCTCCAGGAACCAGCTGAGCAAGCAGGTGCTTGGGGCGGCAAAGGGAAGGGGCGGCACGTTGGGCTGTTCGGCGGAGGGTCCCTGTCCCTCTCGGAGGGAAGGACCTACCGCCGAATTGCCGCTGAAGAAGAAAGCGGCGCGGTGGAGCTGCCGCTGATCGCGATCATGGCCTTTTTTTTTTTTTTTCCCGCCGCTTGGGGTGGCAAAAACCCTGGAGCCAGCCCTGATCCACAGTCCTGGATCATCTAGACTTAAGGAACTAAACTCAGCAGCAGCCGTTTCTTGCGCCTCCACCACACTCTTCTCTGATCTACACTTTTCTTCAGGAATGTGCAACATGGTTACATTTGAGATGGAGATATGGATGCTGCAGTAGCTGCCAGGTCACCTGCACTCTGACTAACTGGAAGATCAGGCATCTCCTCACCACTCTCATCCTCACTGGGGCCAGAAGGCTCACTGTGAACATTTGTGTCTCTGTATCTCAGGAGAGCTCCTTCCTGCTTAGATAGAAAAGCTTCTTTTGCTTTCTTTCTTTTTCTGAATACTGCCCCAGCGGGGCGTTTTCTTCTTTCACTCAGACTGCTGTTCTGTGCCAGCTATAGTGGCTCTCAACACTCAATTGAAGGGGACAAATAAGCAGGCTGGTAGCAGGGCCTGAGTGAGGGAAGATAACAGCATCTTAAGGGCCCAACTGACTCCTACCTGCCTGTTATGTCTCTTGTACCCTCCTTCCTCCAGCACAGCACTCCACCATCTCTGTGCATCTAGAGCAGAGAGAATACACATGCACCAGCAGCAGACACAATTTTCTACACTCTGGGTCCTAGTGGCATCCCCCCACCATCTGGCACCTGAGGCGGCCGCCTCAGTTCGCCTCATGGTAAGGCTAGCCCTGATTAGAGGGGAAGATATCAGGCCAACTGTTATATATGACTCATTCAAGGAGCTAAGGAGTGGAGAATAGAGTTGGTTGGCAGGCTTAACCCTGTCTATCAGTGCTGTGAATTTTCCACACCCATGAATCATAGAAGCATAGAAGAATAGGGTTGGAAGAGACCTCAGGAGGTCATCTAGTCCAACCCCCTGCTCAAAGCAGGACCAACCCCAACTAAATCATCCCAGCCAGGGCTTTGTCAAGCTAGGCCTTAAAAACCTCTAAGGATGGAGATTCCACCACCTCCCTAGGTAACCCATTCCAGTGCGACATAGCTAGGTTGACCTAGTTTTTAGGTGTAGAGGAGGCCTAAACAGATTTAAAATAGTCTTCAATAATGTCTTGCCTTTTGTTACAGATTGTTCACAGAACCCTAGCAGCAATGTTGGGCTCTTTGGCAGCTTTAGCTGCATTAGCTGTGGTTGGTGAGGTAAGTTGCAACATTTCAAGTATTCAGTTTATTTCTGTGCATTGTATCATAAATCCACACATACTTATTCCTGTAAAAATGGTCCCATGGTGCAGCAGTCTCTATGAGACTTAAAATGCTGCAAGAACAGTATTTGTGTACTCTGTGAATTCCTGTTCTTGGGGCCATGAAAGAGAGATGCAATCTTGGCTCCAGATGGGGAAAAAAGAGAGCAAGGCCAACTTAATGGTATGATATTCTGATTCTGCAGGAACTTGAATAAAACCATTTTCAGTTTAATTCAGATTTACTCTAATTTAATCTACTTTACTGTGTGATGTAAATGGGCCGAGGTGAGGCCTAGTCTAACCTTCAATTTTCTTAGGTTCTGCAAACTCTTAACTTTTTGTAGTTTATGTAAGATCTATATTAATAGTGATGGAGCTAGCACTTTTGCTAATGGATAATCTTTTACTCCATCAGGCTATTCAAATCCCATAGTTCCCCAATTTTTACCAGTAATAATCCCTTATATCTTCAAAAGTACTGAGAGAATGAAGGTCTGACTGGAAGTATGAGTGATGTAAGAGACCATATAGGCCATTAGGTTACTGAATGCATCCAGAATATACAGAAGATGAGAGGAGTTTGGCCATTTGTATCCCCCCAGAGGAGGGGGGTCCCGTAATTGCATCTGTGGAGTCATCTCCTCCTGATCCCATGTTTTTCATATTCTTGGAAGGATCTGTCCCTGTGGTTCAGTGACGTATATTACCAGTAAGAGTTAGAGCTTCCCAGATAAAGAAAGGTCAACCTGCCTATCCCTCAACTTTGATTGGACCATATTATTGGGCTATGAAGCTTGTAACATCTGATTTTCTTGGAAGCTCTCCAGTGCAGAGATGTTGAATGGAGCAAACTAGAATCACAACCTTAAAGGTCTAGGTGCCCCAAATAAGGTGTGATCCTTTCTGGGCCATCACAACACCAAGAAGGGCTGCCGCTTCTCCTCCTTCCAGGAAGGAGGAGACCACGACAACAACATCTGACCAGCCAACTGCCCAAGGAAGCCCACCAGCCAATGAAAGATACTGAGACCAGAGATGACATCACCTGTCTTGATGCTGATGCTCCAAAGATCAGCAAGCTAAAGAATCATTTTTTTCTCTCTAAGGCTATGTCTACACTAACAGTTTGTCAGTAAAACTTTTGTTGGATAGGGGTGTGGAAAAAACACACCCCTGACTGACATAAGTTTCACCGACAAAAGCGCCGGTGTGGATAACTCTATGTCAGCTAGAGACGGTCTTCCACCAATATAGCTACAACCGCGCATTGGCATAGAACGGCTACATGGGAGACCTTACAGTTGTGCAGCTGCAGCGATACAGCTGTGCCTCTCTAAGATCTGCAGTGTAGACATGGCCTAAGTAACCTTTTTCAATTTTGTTCCCCCTTTTAATCTGCCTGGCAAGGATGCTTGGCACCTTTATTGATTTTTCTCCAAACATTTCAAAAGTATGAACAAGAGAGTGTGTATGTGTATGTCAAAGAAATAGCGCGTGCTTATTCTAAATCTGTAGTAAATCCTAACTTAATTGCTTCATGTCCCATTGGGTTATAAAAGAGTATCTGCTCCCAAAAGGGAAATTATGGGTTGTTGATCACTTTGTATCAGAGAAAGGAAGATTAGGTAAGGAAAGAGTTAACTGTAGAAAGACAAGGTAGAAGTCATTCAGTAAGGGGCAACTTTAAGGAAGTCTGGTAACTGGTTCAGGAGCTTAAAATCAGACTATGACACCTTAAGTTTGTACAAAAATAGATCATGTGTTATATTAACTCCATGATTTAAGTCTTAACTGTTTTCATCCTATGATCTGGTCAGTTGTTGATTCCATTCCATTATTGTCAATTTGTTGATTTATTAGTTCAATTCCAATTGAAATTTTGATTTGACAATTGTGCTGTTCAATCCTTAAATAGTCTAGTAAAAGATTTATAGTTTTAGTTAAACATTTACTTAATTTCAGGTTTGCTTTTATTAATTTGTAATAAATCCCTTACAATCATAAAGCTGTTTTTTTTTTTCAAAATAGCAAGAAGAGATCACAATACACTCACCTGGGAAAAAAATTAATGTCGTAAGGTATACCAGAGCTCCTTGGCTCTGTCCGAAAACTGATATCTTTATCCCTCACATTTTCAGCCATATTAGGTTTCCCATGGAGCCTAAACAAACATATCTACTGGTTATACTGCCTTGGGGCCACCATAGATGATAACACTCCCGCAGTGGTGTTTACTTCTTTCAAATATTTTTATCTTCCCCCATGCTCCTTAATTGACAATTAGCAAAACTATATGTACTTACTAGTTCTTTCAATCTTTGCACGTATCCTTGTGACTACTCTTCTCTGAATTCCCTTCAATTTGTCCACAGGTGAAGGTGAATGTCCTATTCTGTTAGCAGAAAGTAAAGTGAAGTGCAGTCTATAAACCAGTTTTCATTTATTTCTGTACAAGAGAAACAAACAAACTAAAAACCTAATGTAGGTGCTAGATAATGAGCCGTTCAGGCTGTCAGTGTTTTTCAGAGATAATAGAAAAGAGCCCCCTTTGGGTACATTGCAGAAACACTAATTAATTTCTATCACAGCTTATTTAAATAGTTCACCAATTAAGTGGAATTTGAAGTTCCATAGCTAATCACTAGTTAGGTGATCCACAGGATTAACTGATAATTGTATTGTTTGATTTGCAGAGACCAAGCATGGTCAAAGTGGTGGAGTGGATTGATTATGAAACCCTGGCACTGTTGTTTGGAATGGTAAATAAAATGTAACTTTTGCTCTAAAAGTGCTGGAAAAATTGTAGTCAATGTCTAGCTGTTTCTTTTTATTTGTTAACATCCTTTTAACTGAGAGCTGCTATGTTGAAAATTTGGCTTCTTTAGAGTGTTTAAAAACTGCAGGCAATCAAAAACTTGGAGAAAATGAAGCACTTTGGAAAATGTTGGTCTTGGTTTCTTCCCCTCATAAAACAGGGGTGATAACTAAAACTGTATAAATAACCGATTTTTTGGTTTGCTGAGTCAAGATGGAATAACATTTCTTTTATTGGACCAACTTCTGTTGGTGCGAGAGATAAACTTTTGAGCTTGCACAGAACTCTTCTTCAGGTCAGAAGGTCAGAGCTCTTTTTCACGGCATTTTTTGGTTTGCTGGCAGCTCTGAAAAATTGAAAAAAAAAAAAAAAAGATTTGATCCAAAATGAATAGGAAAAGTGCACAAAAATATTGGTGAATTTGTCTCCAAAATTAGCATTTTAAAGGACGAGCTGGAGGAGGAGTTCTCCTATACTTTAGCCCAGAGTTTAGGGTGCTCACCTTGGATGTTGGAGAGACAGGTTCAATTCCCCTCTCTGCCTGATGTGAATAGGGTTTTGAAATTGGGTGTTCCACATTTCAGGAGAACACCCTAGCCACTGGGTTATGGGATGTTCAGATGTGGGGCTCTCTCAATCTCTTATTTCAGCTGTTCTACTTTGTATAAATAATTACATATACATAGGACTTAAACTTGAGTCTCCCTCATTATAGGTAAGTGTTCTAACCACCAGTCTATAGAATCATTCTCACTCACTTTCCCTGGCCCAGTGACTATTCTCTGTATTATTAATGACAATGAATAGTCATTGGGCCAGGGAAAGAGAGTGAGAATGACCCTATAGCTTGGGAGGATTTGAACCTTTGTCTCAGAGCCATAACCATTGGGCTAAAAGTTAGAAGGATAGCAGCAGGAGCCACCACTTCTGCCCCTGAAAAATATTTGTGAATTTGTGAGAAAGTCACAAATAATTTTGGGTCAACCAAAACTGCTTTTTGGGGCAAATAAACTATTAATCAATTTTTTTTGCTGATCTCTAGTGATAACACATCTCCCATTGAAAGGATCTTTGAGATCTATAAATGAAAAAGCCTGCATTACATGCCAAGTGTTACCACTATAAGACAAGATGGGTAATACCTTTAATTGGACCAACTTCTGTTGGTGAAAGAGACTAGCTTTGGAGAGCGTTATCACTCTCATTCCACTTGTTAATTTTATTTACACTAAGCCTTCCTCAAACATACTCGACTAGAGAAAGTGATTTCCTTTGTCCTAATCAGTGTTCTGTTGTGGGCCTGAATGAGCAATTGGACAAAAGCATATACCTGGCTAGACTATAATAATATATCAATTATTTGCTCACCTCTACTCCTATTAATCTATGTTGCCCTTTTGTGACTGAAATATGCTATGGTATCATAAATAGACAAAATGCACTGCCATCTACATCCATTGCCATCTATGAATTTTAATGACTTCCTGCATCCAAAAAGACCGGGGGACCAGGAAATCTCCCTGAAATATGGAAAAATTTAAATAATCTTAGGGAGTTGATGTCTTCTGGACTCTAAAGAGCACTGCTGAAGAAAACAGTGGTAAACTAATGGCCACTTTTGATTAGCGAGAAGGGCAGAGATATTTGTAATGTGTGGTGCCTACCAAGTAATTAGGAATGAAATTCACACCTGTAGAGAGGCCTGCACAAAGTCTATGCACCCCTTGCATCCTGAAATAAGACGATGGCCCTACTGCACAGATGTAAATTTTACCATAAATGCCAGTAATAGAAATCTGACTTCTGATGCGTGGCATCCTAATTTACGTCTGATGTCCTCTCCAAAAACAGGACCAAAATTGTGGCAGAGATGCAGGACTCCTTGTTAAAGCAACAAACCAAACCATTCACTTTTTTATGTGAATAATTCCATCCTTATTTCTTTCTTTTTCTGTAGATGCTTTTAGTGGCCATATTTTCAGAAACTGGGTTTTTTGATTACTGTGCAGTAAAGGTAGGTTTATTGTGACATCTTGCATTTAAATTCTTTATAGTACTGTATTTATATTACTGCAGCACTCTTACATATTTATTGAACTAATACAACTGCTGTTTAGTCAAACCTATTAGACTAAATCATACATTTAAAAACATTTATGTAAGGACAATTTACATTTGTCATACTACAAAGTAATTGTTAATTTATAATTCTTTTAAGGAGCTAAGTGTTGAGGAAGCATTTCAAGAAATGATATTTTTATAAGTTAAGGCCAGAGACCCTGATTCAGTAGGGTACTTAACCACATGCATAATTTTAAGCATGTGAGTAGTCCCATTACGGTGACCAGATGTCCTGATTTTATAGGGACAATCACTATATTTGGGGCTTTGTCTTACATAGGCACCTGTTACCCACCATCCCTTGTCCCAATTTTTCACACTTGCTATCAGGTCACCCTAAGTCCCATTGACTTCCTATCCACTGTGTGCAACAGAGCTGGGCTCCATGCATACTCGTCTGTGTCCAGTCCAGAGGAGAGTAGAGAGGAGGTGTGGGTCAGACCACTGGGTTTATGTTTATATATAATTAACGGCCATAGACCTTTGTGTAGGGGTTGAATCAAAGACTCAGCTGTTATTCTATATGAACAGAATGGTAGCGTGGGGTGGCTTAGGCTGCACAGCCCATGGGTTGGGAGAATAAATTCAATACTCAGTCGTCCCATTCATAGTTTCCTGTGTAAAGCTTGTTTACTTAGATTGTATTCAAGGCAGTAGATTTCCATATGACTATAAAAGGAGGAATGCAGGATTTGAAGTTAAAGCAAGAGAAAACAGGAAACCTGGATTCTCTTCTTGGTTCTGCGACAGATTCCCTGTGTTACCTTTAGCAAATCACTTACTCTTTCTGTACCTATTTCCTTATCTGTAAAACAGAAATATTTTCCTATTTCCCTAGAGTAGTTTGTAGCTAAATTAATTAATGTTTGAAAAGCATACTGAGATCCTTGATTGGCAGGCCCTAAAGAAGTGACTAGTATAACATTGTTGCACCATCTTTTATAAAGTTGTTCATTGGTCATTTCTGAAAATGAAGCTGATATGTTCCATGCCTTTATGCCATTGCTATTTGTTTGGTTTTATTAGGCTTACCAACTGTCTAGAGGCAGAGTGTGGGCCATGATTATCATTCTGTGTCTTATTGCTGCAATTCTTTCTGCATTTTTGGACAACGTTACCACAATGCTTCTCTTTACTCCAGTAACCATAAGGTATTTTATGTTATGCCTTTGGCGTTAGTTGTTTATAGCTAACCATTGCTAGTTGGTGTGTGTCAAAAATCATATTTGAGATGTTTGTTCAGCAGTTTGAATGGACCTTACAACCCCAAATGCTCTGACTGTAATTACTATCTAGAGCTACAACTTTTAAAGAGTTCAGCTTCCTTATTTTCATGTATCAGTTGTGAGCACAAATCCAAGTACTTACAGATTTAACTATCTCTGCAGTTAAGTAGGTACAGATGCAAATACTCTGAGTTGTGCCCACATTTGAATTGTAATTGCAAATTGCGCAACCCATTTAGTTCTGGGCGCAAATTGCTCTTGCAAACAGGGGTGCTGGAATTTTTGGAAAAAACAGCCCAAAACCCCTATTCCTTCATGTATAGACTAATGTTTATGTACAATTTTGCCTCCTAATGGATGATTTAAAGAAATTATAATCCCTGCTAACTGGCAGTAGTAGTAGTAACTGGCAATTATTCTGTACTGAAGAACTCTTTTTGGAATAGAAGACTCTGAATTCTATCCTTATTGATCCCATGAAGTGGATACAATCCCAGATTAATTTCATATTTCTAGATTAATCATAGTTTTTTATTAAAACAGTGACGTTAGTTACAGCAGCTTTCTGGAAACTGCATGTGATTTGTAATTACATTTAGTTCATGTGATTATAAATCATGCTTTGGCCTGAATTTAACCTACATTCAACCTGGTAAATCCAGTTTAGTTAAAAAAAAAAAAAAACTGGGGTGGGGAAGATGGTTTTAAATATGGCATCGGGTGATGTAACACTTGCAGTCCTTATCATATTTACGTGTATAGAATTGTATGAAGATATGTAGCCCATTAAAATGTAGTTTACAGCAGGAAAGGTCTATTTTGCAAGTGGAATTTATTATAGGCTGGGAAACAGCTGGTGAATGAAAGCTCAATTTGTTTGCTGTATGATTATATTTTAAACAGATCACATCACTTTTACTCAAACAATATTTTTATCACTAACAGTAGGTAAAAATGAGATGGTTAAACAAGCGTCTCCAATTATGTTGCAGAATATTTGGAATTAAATAAAATGTAATTGGTAATGGATTGAAATCCTAAAAGTCTACATTCTGAAACACTGTTTACATGCAATACTTCTGTAGCATTTATTCTGTTTTATACTAACAATTCTGTAACACTGGAAGTAGGGTAACATCAGCATATGAAAGAATCTTTTATTTGAATTGCTATTAGGTGTACTTCTAAACTAGCAAAATCACAATAATTTCTACTCTAATGGTTATTCTAAAAATATAAGGTTATTATGTATGTGTATATTTCTGAAAATGTCATGCTAGAGGTCATTCTTTTTATCCTGTTGTTGTTCTCCTTAGTCCTTACCTATAATTTCCCAGTGCTATTTTACACTGTTATTATCATGGAGATGAAGCTAACAGAAAAGTCTACTGATTCCATGACAATGAGGATTCAGACTTTTTATCAGTGAGGCATAAAATATGATGTTCTGTTCTTGTCATATTTTGTGGTAAATTGTTTTTAGAAATAATTCAATAAACCTTCTTTAGCTATAACTTATTTTAAAACATATTTTGAATGTCAAGACACTTTATGATTTGCAATGTTCTACAAAATTGCCTGTTTATATGGGAAATTGAAAATCTTGGATAAGTGAACTATAACGGTTTAATCCTACAGTTCAGGTAAACACATTTTAACTATCCGTCACAGCTTCCTTTTATAGACTACAGTAAGCATTTGTTTTTGCAAAGTTTATCTATGCCCCATCAAGAAAAAATAGTAAAGGATCATTAAAGTTGTACAGTTATGCACTCAGAAGTCAAGGAATGACTTGTGCAACTGCATTTCAATGCAGTCTTTAATTACATAATCTCATACTATTGCTCAAATAATACAATGTAACTTTTTACTGTACATTTTTTTCCCTGGAGTCTTAGGCTAGGTCCACACTACCCGCCTGATTCGGCGGGTAGAGATCGATCTTCTGGGATCGATTTATCGCGTCTCATCTGGACGTGATAAATCGATCCCAGAAGTGCTCCCCCGTCGACTGCGGAACTCCTGCTCACCGAGAGGAGGAAGCGCTGTCGACGGGGGAGCTTGCCTGCGCTGCGTGGACCCGCAGTAAGTAAACTTAGTTCGATCTAGGAAACGTCGACTTCAGCTACGCTATTCTCGTAGCTGAAGTTGCGTTTCCTACATCGATCCCCCACCCCAGTGTGGACCAAGCCTTAGATTAAGTGTAAATGGGTAATATAGAACATAAGAACGGCCGTACCGGGTCAGACCAAAGGTCCCTCTAGCCCAGTATCCTGTTTACCGACAGTGGCCAATGCCAGATGCCCCAAAAGGAGTGGACCTAACAGGCAATGATCAAGTGATCTCTCTCCTGCCATCCATCTCCATTCTCTGACAAACAGAGGCTAGGGACACCATTCCTTACCCATCCTGGCTAATAGCCATTAATGGACTTAACCTCCATGAATTTATCCAGTTCTCTCTTAAATGCTGTTATAGTCCTAGCCTTCACAACCTCCTCAGGTAAGGAGTTCAACAAGTTGAAATATTTTTATGCCTTTAAATGGACACTATTTTCATTGTGATAACATCTGTTGTAACTTAGGTTTTTACATGAGAAGTTCTTTTCGCTCTCTGAAATATACATTTTAATAACATAGGGTTAGATTGAGTCATAAACCCAGTTCTGTCTAAGGGCAGTGTGTAGCTGCACTGCCACCCAATCTCAGGAGAAGCCCTGGGAAGGAATTTTGACTGAAGCTCAATTTCTCCTCTGCTCCCATTTTGCTTACAGGGGGAGGAATTTATTGTAGCCATTTATAGAATACAGCTTATTTCCCCACTTCACGCAGGCTCATCTCCACTGGTCAGTATGGGGGGTTTTTTTGGTGGGGGGTCGGGGGGAAGGGAGAGAAGGAGCCAAGGCTCCACCCACTTAATTGCCTCCTTGACCTGATGGGTTTAGGAGTGGGTATTGGTTACTCAGACCCTGTGGCAGAGGCAGAGTGGTGCAGAGAGTGTTAACAGAAGGGTTCAGGGAGGCTTTCTCCCCATTGTTCTCCTTCCTGGCTGCATTAAGCTGGGTCATGTGGTGTTAGTTGGCAGCCATGTGCGGTATATTTTCTTTGCAACCAGCACCACAGCCACATTTGGGTGCAAAGCAGATGATAAGGAAGTGTTGCATATCTTTCCTTTACTTGCATCTGAAGAAGTGAGGTTCTTACCCACGAAAGCTTATGCTCCCAATACTTCTGTTAGTCTCAAAGGTGCCACAGGACCCTCTGTTGCTTTTTCCTTTACCTGTAGTTAGTCTTTGTCTTTTTAGTTTGTAAACCCTTTGGGACAGGGACTGTAACATTCTGTGTGTCTGTACAGGACCTAGAGAGGAAGGATGATCCAGTGGTTAGGACTAGGGTGAGTCAGGAGACCTTCGTTAAATTCTCTACTCTGCCAGAGCTTTCCTCTGTTGCCTTACGGAAATCACTTAGTCTCGCTGTGCCTCAGTTCCCCATCTGTAAAATGGGGATAATAGCACTTCCCTTTGTCACAGGGGTGTCAAGGATAAATTCTTTAAAGATTATGAAGTACACAGATACTAGAGTAATGCAGGCCCATAGAAGTACCTTAGATAGATAAAATGAGGTTGCAGTCCATATTGTTGGAGTTTGTGGGCTCTATTGTAATCTAAATAATAAATAACAAATTCGTAAAATGAAATCATCCCAGAGACAGGGGAACTGTAATTTGTTCACCTGTGTAGGATTCTTACCTGTGCCCCATATTAGAGGGCTTTCCCTTTACCCCCTTCCCTGGCTCTTGTCATGCAGATGGAAAGCAGAAGACCGGAAGTCTGAAGTGCAGGCAATGTGATGTTTATTGGGCTTTAGTTCCAAGCAAGCATATTCCGAAGCCCTTCACACCAGTTGGGCTTATCTCTATACACCGATAGAGTTTTCCCCTTCCCCTCCCCCAACTACAGTTCTATACGCCAATAGAATCCTCTAGCTCCGCACACCGATGGAGCTCCCTCTTTCCAGTGTTCTGTTTCCAGCTCTAATGCCACAGAGCATTTACCCTATGTCCCCCTTCCCAGCTCTGACACTGCAGAACCTTGCCTGTTTCCCTGTTCCTCATTCCCCTATTCCTGGTCCCCCATTCTCCCATTCCCATTCCCATTCCCACTCCCATTCCCATTCCCACTCCTTCCTCTTAGCAGGCCCAAATATACCTGCAATGCACTCCCCTAGTCACACCCCTTATAACTGATGGTTCTGGAGGGTCGTGAGTCGGGGTCTTCATCTCACCCCTTTTGTACCCCATGGGAGGGGTAAGGAATGAGGTTGTGCTCCGGTCAGGGGCAGGCATTTCTCTGGTCTTTTAGTGTTTTACCTCCCCCCACAAACTCCCCTTACCCCTCCCGACTGGTTGCCTGACCTTGCTTTGAGATAAGGAGTTGAGGCAGTCTTTAAGTGTGCGCTCATATATTACACTCCCACCATACCCTGTAACACTTTTAGTTTCATCCCTTATCTCTTCCCATTGTACTAAAAGCCCCATCTGGTGGTGGGAAATGCAACACACAGCATCGTTGTCCTTCACACATATTAGTATAAAATACGAGTAACAAAAAGTCAAACCCAAAATTCTGTCTCAGGCTGACAAACAAGCCTATATGCTAACACCCCAAAGAAGTGTTCTGAAAACATTATTGAATATCTTAAAATAAGTTTAAAGAATAGAAATAGGGAGACCCTTCAGGACATACAAAATTCTGGGAAGGACATTCATTTTCCGTATATTAGTTTTACCCCATAAAATAAGGGTTAACAAACTCCACCTCTGCAAAATGTTAGCCATTTGGGCAATAATTGGTTCTATATTTATCTTAGGGATAGAATCACAGAATTGTAGGACTGGAAGGGACCTTGAGAGGTCATCTAGTCCAGTCCCCTGCACTCCTGGCAGGTCTAAGTATTGTCTAAACCATCCCGGGCAGGTGTTTATCTACCCTGCTCTTAACAGTCTCCAATGATTGAGATTGCATAACCTCCCTAGGCAATTTATTCCAGTGCTTAACCACCCTGACAGCTAGGAAGTTTTTCCTAATGTCCAACTTAAACTTCCCTTGCTGCAATTTAAGACCATTGCTTCTTGTCCTATCCTCAGAGGTTAAGGAGAACAATTTTTCTCCCCCGTCCTTGTAACAACATTTTATGTACTTGAAAACTGTTATCATGTCCCCTCTCAATCTTCTCTTCTCCAGACTAAATAAATCCAATTTTTTCAATCTTCCCCTCATAGGTCATGCTTTCTAGACCTTTAATCATTTTTTTTTTGCTCTCCTCTGGACTTTCTCCAGTTTGTCCAGATCTTTCTTGAAGTGTGGCACCCAGAACTGGACACAATACTCCAGTTGAGGCCTAACCAGCGTGGAGTACAGCGGAAGAATTACTTCTTGTGTCTTGTTTATAACACTCCTGCTAATACATGACAGAATGATGTTTGCTTTTTTTTTTGGCAACAGTGGTACACTGTTCACTCATATTTAGCTTGTGATCCACTATTACCCCCCAAAAAGCAACAGAGGGTCCTGTGGCACCTTTGAGACTAACAGAAGTATTGGGAGCATAAGCTTTCGTGGGTAAGAACCTCACTTCTTCAGATGCAAGTAATGGAAATCTCTAGAGGCAGGTATAAATCAGTGTGGAGATAACGAGGTTAGTTCAATCAGGGAGGGTGAGGTGCTCTGCTAGCAGTTGAGGTGTGAACACCAAGGGAGGAGAAACTGCTTCTGTAGTTGGATAGCCATTCACAGTCTTTGTTTAATCCTGATCTGATGGTGTCAAATTTGCAAATGAACTGGAGCTCAGCAGTTTCTCTTTGGAGTCTGGTCCTGAAGTTTTTTTGCTGTAAGATGGCTACCTTTACATCTGCTATTGTGTGGCCAGGGAGGTTGAAGTGTTCTCCTACAGGTTTTTGTATATTGCCATTCCTGATATCTGACTTGTGTCCATTTATCCTCTTGCGTAGTGACTGTCCAGTTTGACCAATGTACATAGCAGAGGGGCATTGCTGGCATATGATGGCATATATAACATTGGTGGACGTGCAGGTGAATGAGCCGGTGATGTTGTAGCTGATCTGGTTAGGTCCTGTGATGGTGTTGCTGGTGTAGATATGTGGGCAGAGTTGGCATCGAGGTTTGTTGCATGGGTTGGTTCCTGAGTTAGAGTTGTTATGGTGCGGTGCGTGGTCGCTGGTGAGAATATGCTTAAGGTTGGCAGGTTGTCTGTGGGCGAGGACTGGCCTGCCTCCCAAGGTCTGTGAAAGTGAGGGATCATTGTCCAGGATGGGTTGTAGATCACTGATGATGCGTTGGAGAGGTTTAAGCTGAGGACTGTAGGTGATGGCCAGTGGGGTTCTGTTGGTTTCTCTTCTGGGCCTGTCTTGTAGCAAGAGGCTTCTGGGTACACGTCTGGCTCTGTTGATTTGTTTCTTTATTTCCTTGTGTGGGTATCGTAGTTTTGAGAATGCTTGGTGAAGATCTTGTAGATGTTGGTCTCTGTCTGAGGGGTTGGAGCAGATGCGATTGTACCTCAGTGCTTGGCTGTAGACGATGGATCGTGTGGTGTGACCGGGGTGGAAGCTGGAGGCATGAAGGTAGGCATAGCGGTCGGTGGGTTTTCGGTATAGGGTGGTGTTAATGTGGCCATCGCTTATTTGTACGGTGGTGTCTAGGAAGTGGACCTCCCGTGTAGATTGGTCCAGGCTGAGGTTGATGGTGGGGTGGAAGCTGTTGAAATCATGGTGGAATTCTTCCAGGGTCTCTTTCCCATGGGTCCAGATGATGAAGATGTCATCAATATAGCGTAGGTAGAGAAGGGGCATGAGTGGACGAGAGCTGAGGAAGCGTTGTTCCAGGTCAGCCATAAAAATGTTGGCATATTGTGGGGCCATGCGGGTGCCCATAGCGGTGCCACTGGTCTGGAGGTATATATTGTCACCAAATTTGAAATAATTGTGCGTGAGGATAAAGTCACAGAGCTCAGCAATAAGTTGTGCTGTGTCATCATCAGGGATACTGTTCCTGACAGCTTGTATTCCATCTGTATGTGGGATGTTTGTGTAGAGAGCCTCTACATCCATGGTGGCTAGGATGGTGTTTTCTGGGAGGTCACCAATGCATTGTAGTTTTCTCAGGAAATCTGTGGTGTCACGGAGATAGCTGGGAGTGCTGGTGGCGTAGGGTCTGAGTAGGGAGTCCACATATCCAGACAGTCCTTCAGTGAGAGTGCCAATGCCCGAGATGATGGGGCGTCCAGGATTTCCAGGTTTGTGGATCTTAGGTAGTAGATAGAATAACCCCGGTCGGGGCTCTAAGGGTATGTTGATTTGTTCCTGTGTTAGTGTAGGGAGTGTCCTCAGCAGATGGTGCAGTTTCTTAGTGTATTCCTCAGTGGGATCTGAGGAAAGTGGCCTGTAGAATTTGGTATTGGAGAGTTGTCTGGCAGCCTCCTTCTGGTAGTCAGACCTGTTCATGATGACAACAGCACCTCCTTTATCAGCCTCTTTGATGATAATGTCAGGGTGGTTTCTGAGGCTGTGGATGGCATATTACCCCCCAAATCCTTTTCTGCAGTACTCCTTCCTGTGCAGTCATTTCCCATTTGTATGATTGTTCCTTCCTATGTGGAGTAATTTGCATTTGTCCTTATTGAATGTCATCCTATTTATTTTATACAATTTCTCCAGTTTGTCCAGATCATTTTGAATTTTAATCCTATCCTCAAAAGCACTTGCAACCCCTCTCAGCTTGGTATCATGCACAAACTTTATAAGTGTTCTTTTTATGTCATTAAGTAATTGATGAAGATATTGAACAGAACCGGACCCAGAACTGATCCCTGTGGAACTCCACTCGATCTGCCCTTCCAGCTTGACTGTGAACCACTGAGAACTACTCTCTGGGAATGGTTTTCCAACAAGTTATGCACCCACCTTATAGTTGCTAAATCTAGGTTGTATTTCCCAAGTTTGTTCAGTATCAAAAGCCTTACTAAAGTGAAGCTATACAACATCTACTGCTTCACCCTTCTCCACAAGGCTTGTTACCCTGTCAAAGAAAGCTAATCGGTTGGTTTGACATGATTTGTTTTTGACAAATCTATGCTGTCTGTTACTTATCACCTTATTATCTTCTAGGTGTCTGCAAATTGATTGCTTAATTATTGGATGTCCTGAATATCTTTGGGAATCAGTATTCCTAAATATTTCATGTAAAAGGATTGCCATTGAAAGTCCCAATTTGAGAAAAGGCCTTTGTGGGCATATTTGTTAATTCCTAAAATTTCTGATTTACCCCCAGTTAATTTTATATCCTGAGAGGAGTCCAACTTTATTAATAGTGGTTAGTAGGTTAGGAA